ACTTGATGAGATTTTGGGCAAATGATTTATAAATAAATAATTGTTTGTGTTTTGTAAAGTGTTTTCACTTTTGATCAAGATATGTATGGATTTAAAGATTGAAAAATGCATTTGGAAGTCATTTTTGAGAAATTCAGAATTCTGGAATTTAACAGGCCGCTCAAGCAGTATAATTACTGCTTGAGCGCACATTGAAGCCTTCGAGTACTTTTGCAGTCTTTTATAGAGCGCTCGAACGACCAGAAGATCACTCGAGTGAACAGCTCTTATCAACGTAGTTTGGAAAAAGTTGCATTTATTTCATATTTTCAATCTCATCTCTTTCCAAGCATTCTTAGGCAAGAATTATGACTCAATATAGATTAATAAGCTAACAATCAACATAAATAAGTTGGTTAAGGAATAATTCATTGATTTAATAATAATTGATTAAAAAGCCAAGTAAGAAATCGGTCTATTTGGGAAAAAAAGAAAAAAAAGAAAAAGAAAAAAGGACTTAGTAATGAAAGAATAATGAAAGAACATGTGAAATGATAACCCGGTTCATTTGAATAAGAAAGATTAAGCGTAGTAGAACTTCGGATTACTTAAACAGAAAAAGACAAGAGAAGTCAAGTTTCATTAATGAAGTGATGTTGTGTTTCAATGTATATATGTTATGTGTTTGTGTAGGTTACGTGTTAACGTCTGCTTGATCTATCTGATCGGTCTAATTTGTTTGATCTGCTTCTGGAGCTATCTATGAGTAGTAACTCTGTAAAGCTATGTTCAACTTTAAATATTTTCTGAATGATATAATATGATCTATTTTCTGAAATGCTATTGTATGATTAAATAAATGATTGTCCAACTTTCTGAAATGTATTCATGGCATCCTTAGCATCAGATGATATCTGTTACATGACTACCAGGATTGGTTATGCAGAACTGTTTATCTGCTCTGTATACGTCCCTTTATGGATCATCTGGTCCATTTATGGGTCATCTGTACCGTCTCATGTAATCATGAGTCATTTGTTAGTGCTATTGATGTACCATAGATGTACCACGTATGATTATCTGTGGGAATTTGATATGAATATGAATCTGTTTTTGAGCTGAACTCTGATTTTCGAATCTGTTATAGACATCATTCATAAAACCTTTACTATATTGTTATTCACTAGGCTTCAGCTTACTGTGCTATTTATGTATGTAGGTGATCAAGCGCATGATCAGGCCTAGAGCGTTTGCCTGGACTCTGTCTTGTCAGCCAACTTATGTGCCTCCCATCGAAGTTCCAGATATGTCAAGTGGTCAGGCTAAGTCTTGTTTTGTTTTATACGTTTTTGGGTGATGTAAGACTGATGTCAATATGACGTCACATATGTATGAATATAAGTTTTAAATTTTTTGTCCTATATATGTCTGCACAGTATTATGGACATTATATGTTTGTATAATTGCTTCCTCTAGCCCTTTATTTTGTTAATCTGTTCAAAGGCCTTCCGTAATCCCAAGATTACTGGCCGATTACGATGCTAAACCTATAGGGCGGGTTTGGGTTGTGACATATACAGTTATCGACGACTGGCGACTATCATCGATTGGAGTTCACTGACAACCATCAATCACCGACTCTTTACTTCGCTCTCACCGACGGTGTAAGAGATTAGTTTCTAGCGAAGAAGATGAGTAGATCTACTCAAATCTAATGTAGATCTACATCAGTTCCAGCTAGATCTAAACCAAAAAAATTATCGGAGTACAATCCTCTCTCTACATTTGTCTCTCTCATTCGATCTCTTGATTTTTCTATTTTTTTTCTCTACTACACACCTCTCTTTTCCTATTTTAATACAAAAAATTTTTAAGTTATAAACAAGTTGTTTTCGAGTTTTAGTTACAGGTGGTGAAAATTGTAAAATTTTCCTTTTTTTTTTGGGTGCTAAAATGAATTTTGCTTTAAAATTGTAAAATTTTGCAGTTTCATAACATGCTATACTGTAAAAATTTATAGTTTCATAACTTCATTTTAATGTAAGATTTTGCAATTTCGTAACATAATTTTCAATTTGATTAATAAGAATAAATACTTAACATAATCATGCTTTGAAACTGTAACAACTTTACCGTTTCAAAACTTGCTTTTCAGTTTTATTAATATTGGAGATTCTTTGTTTAAACCCTATAAAAATTGAAAAATAACATATGTTTGTTTCTTATTGTTGTTGTTACATTTTTTTTCCCTTTTAGTTTATCAATATTTAGTACATTTTGTTATGTTTTTTCGTTCTAATTTCTCTATTTATTCTTCTTTTTTTCTCGATAATATTTTGGACATTCTGATGAGTTTCTGACGATGTTCTTGACGTTCAACAAATGTTTTGGACATTTCGGCAACTTTCAATGACATTCAAAACACTCTAGAAAATTTCCGACGATACTCCGACGACTTCTTAATAATATTGAACACTTTGCAGAGTCTCTGGTGACCATATGACGGAAGTCCAATGATGGTGGGATGCAGCAGCGTGTTTATATTTAAAAAAAAAAAAGAATTTTTAGTAACAATTAAAATTATGTAAAACTAATTGATGCAATTATTTTATTTTAAGATTATATGAATTTTGAACTTTGTATATGAAACGTACTGATAAATAGCCTTTCTTTTTCTTTTTTTTTCCTCTCTCCAAGTTAGTAGCCCTATGACTTTTTCTCTTTCTCAACCACACCTCCAATCTCAAGAGTCCAAATCATCTGCTATGGGTTCCTGCAGTGGTCTCCAAAATGATGTCGTTTTGTTTAGTGGTTTTTTTTTTTAATTCAAAATTTTCATTTCCCCCTCTTTTCTCTTCTATGTATCATCTTCTGTGCTTTGCATCAGTGAACTTTAGCACAGAGAGAGAGGTAGAGATGTGAGAGGCGACTGAAATTCAGAGTGAGGAACTGAGAGAGAGACGGAGAGACGAGCCTGAATAGAGAGAGAAACGAACTGAGAGACGAAAGAGATGGCAGAGCGATGTGATGGCGAAGGAGTAACACAGAGGGTGGCGGGCGATGGTGAGTCCGGCAACGAAGCGATGGCAAGAAGGCGAGATTACGGTGGCGACGAGGTCTATTTCATCATCATTGTCATTTCTTGCTGTTATATATATACATGTATATATATATATATATGATTCTTGAGTTAGATTTGTTATTGATTTTTGAAATGGGTTTGATGAAATGGGTATTTTTGAAATGGGTTTGATGATACATTTGTTGTTGATTTTTGGCATGGGTCTGATGAAATGGGTATTTTTGAAATGGGTTTGATGATAAATGGAAGAAAGTATAAATTAAATTTGTTGTTCTATATATATATGATTCAGATTTTTGGGGACTCATATATAAATTAAATAGGGCCTCTTTGATAGTGAAACACATTTATTTTTATATATTATTTTTTGGGGATTCATATATGATTTTCTTCCATTATATATATATATATATATGATTCAGATTTCTGTAATTCACCCCTAGTACCTACAATTCAATATAAACGTAGTTAAACCTTGAGAGAGAGAGAGAGATGTGTTAAAAATAACAAGAATAGATAAATTGATTTGCGATATTAATGCGTAGCATAACAAGGATGAAGCACATATAGTATTGTTGATATGAGAGAAATTGATTATTCCAACTAACACGGCTAAACCTTGTTATATGTATGATGTTGAAATTGATTATTAATGACCTTGTTATTTTTATAAAAAAAATAGTAAGAACAGGGATGTGTAAAACTTGTTATTTGTATAATACTGAATTGTAGGTAATGGAAGAAAAAAATATTGTTGATGAGTTGGCCAATTGTGGTTGGAAGCCGAAATTGGAAATGTCATTTGACTTTGAACAAGCTGTGTATGACTTTTACAATACCTATGGGGGAAAGGTGAGCTTCAGTATTAGGAAGGCCTATGCAAACAAGAACAAACATACGAAGGAGATAACTTCACGGATGTTTGTATGTTACAAAGAGGGAAGTCGGGGTATTGACAAACGAGATCCACTTGTCAAAAATCCGAGACAACAGGTAAGATGTGGTTGTGATGCCTGATTTAGTGTCAAGTTAGAAAGAATTTCAACAAAATATGTTGCTTGTGATTTTGTTGAACATCATAATCATGACCTTGTGCCTCAAGATTGCATTCATATGTTGCCATCCTAAAGAAAAATATCTACCACCCAAGCAATTGAAGTAGAATTGGCTTCAGAATCTGGAATTCCTCTTAGGTCTGCTTATGAGCTATTTGGTATGAATCTGGTGGAAGAACATCATTTGGCTTCTCGAAATTGGACCCAAAAAAAAAAAAAATTAAGATCGAAGAGACAAAAAGATTTAGAATATGGAGAAGCAGGTAGTGTGTTGCATTACTTTCGTAAGAAAACTGTGGAAAATCTATTCTTTTTTTATGCAGTCCAATTAGATTGTGAACAACAGATAAGTAATATTCTTTGGGCCGATTCTCAAATGATTATGGACTATGATCAATTTGGTGATGTAGTGACCTTTGACACTACTTAAAAATTAAATAACGAGCATAGCCCTTTGGATCATTTGTTGGATTTAATCATCATCGAGAAATAGTTATATTCGGTGCAGCGTTGATGTATGATGAGACTGCCGAATCTTTTACATGGTTGTTTCAAATTTTCCTGGAGGCAATGTCAAACAAAGCTCCTAAAACTATTTTCATAGATCAAGATACTGCGATGGCTAAGGCCATTCCAGTTTTCATGCCCAATACAAACCACCGACTTTGTACGTGGCATTTGATGCAAAATGCTGTCAAGCATGTAAGTTCTATTTTCGATGATGTAGGGGTCAAGGCTATGTTTTCAAAATTTATGCATGACATTGATGACAGAGAAGAATTTCGAATATAGTGGGACCAAAGGCTTGATAAGTATGATGCACGCGACATCATTAGTTGGAGCAGACTTTTCGCGTGAAGGAGAAACGGGAATGACCATATATTATGAATTCTTGGGCAGTTGGAATGAGTACTACTCAACTTAGTGGATCCTTCAATGCATTTTTGAAGGATTATCTGAATTGTGACCATAACTTGATGGAGTTCTTCATGCATTTTGAGAGGGTGCTCTATAAAAAGAGGTATAAAGAATTGGAAACCGAGTACAATTTGTCCCAAAAATTGTCGAGGGTTTCAATTCCAACTTTGAGGTTAAAGCAAGTGGCAGAGATTTACACCAAAACAATTTTTGAGGAATTCGAAAATGAGTACGTGCAGTCCATTGAAGCATTAATTATAGGCACTATTAATGATGGTGAGAGTACCATATTTACAATAAGAACAGTGGTAAATGGGAAAAAAGATAAGAATGTGACAATGGATAAAGATGGTTCTTTGAGTTGTAGCTGCAGGAAGTTTGAAGTGAAGGACATATTGTGTCGACATTGTGTGAAGGTGCTTAGAGATATATTCAATGCAACGGGACTTCCTCCACAATATATACTCAAACAATGGACTAAAAAAGTAAGGGCTGAAAGTGTGAAAGATAGACATGGGTATGAAGTGAAGGCTGATGTGAAACTACATCAAAGCGATCGATATCGGTCATTAGTGACTATGTTTAGAGCAATAGCGAGTAGAGCCACTAAAAGTGAAGAAACTTATCATTTGTCAGTTTCAAAAGGTGAAGAATTGAGTGTAATGGTTGAAGACAAATTAAGTGTCCACATTTGTAGTCAAGTGGAGGTAACTGATTTGAGAAATTCGTCAAGTAACACATGCCCACAGAGTGATGAAGTAGATTGTCTAATTCAAGCTAAGGGACTCAAGAAAAGAGAATCAACTAGTAAGGGAAGAAGGAGGATCAAAGGTGGGATGGAAAAATCTATTGCAAAAAAGAAAAGCGAAGAAAAGCATGCAATCTAGTCAGGTACTTACATGAAAAATTGCTTATGATTAAAATGCACTAGATTAATAAACTAAAACAATGATTTTTTTTTAATATTATTATTAATGACCCACTTTCATTTATCTGTAATGGCACCTAGCAATTTTGTGCTATGGATTATGGTTTTTCATTGTATGTAGGGTGCTGCTGTTTATACTCCCCAATGTCAATCTCAGCCTCCTTTCGGCATGGGAAATAATTCTATTCAGGTAATATTCAATAGTAATGTGGTCTTTCTATGGTTAGTTTTATGAATTCCTTTCATCGAGTCTTCTCTCTAGTTGTATGAAATTATGAACTATCTGAATACTTTTAATTTTTTTTTATCTTTAATTGGTTTGCCTTGCAATGTAGTCGGGTGATGGCTTTTAATTTGTCTGCGTTACCTGTATGTAGGGTGTTGCCGTTTATACTTCCCAAGGTCACTCTCAACCTCGTTTCGTCATGGGTAGTAATTCTATTCAGGTAATATTTATTTGTGTGCAACCTTTTAAGAAAATGTTAAATAATGTTTCTTTTTATTTCATAAATTTTTGTTTTTGTTTATATTGGTTGTATTTAGGATCATGGTCATGGTGCCTATATTTTTCAATCTCAACCTCAAGCTCAAGTTGTCATGGGTGGTACATGTGGTCCTCCTCTTATGTATGGTACATATGATGTGAGTTATCAGCCAACACATACTTTACATTAAGGGTACTATACATTGTAATAAAATTTTAATAAATTTAGCTCTATTGCAGGGAAATAACACGCCTCGGTCAATGCTTTTTGTCTATCCCACTCACACATCCTTTCAGGAGTTGCTTCAAGATACAAGTGTTCAACACTTTACAGTCCAAGTCTCGCAAGCCTCACATAGTCCTGCTGACAGTCATGTAGATGGACATCCCTGAGAAGTTGATTTTATCTATGTTGGAGACCTTTTGTCCTAATATTTGTTTTAGAGAGATCTATTCCAATTAATATGCAATTTAATTATTGTAGGATAATGTTTGAAAATCATTTTGGAGATTTTTATTGTATCATAATATTTGTCCTAAGTATTAAGATTTTTATGTGGAGATCATATTGATAATGTTTGAAATTAGAGGTTGTAGGATATTGTAATTCTGGTTCTGGATTCAAATCTAGGATGTTCAGACATGCTTGTGCAGCTTTATAGTTGGGTGGCAATTTAATTTTTCACTTCCCTAATTTTATAGTTGGTTCTAGTGCTTATCCAAATCTTACCTACAATACTTGTCTTTCATTTGACTTAATTTGAATGTCTTGTTGCCTGCAATATCCATTTGTTGTTGGAGTACTATTGATAGATGTTTCAAGTATAAACTGACAAGTTTTATTCAGAAAATTTTTCTTTTCGAATGAATTTACTTTAATTTCCTTTTTCATAGACAAACTGATCAAGTAGACTTTCTCAATTTTAATAAGCCATTGAGTTCACATCTCTAATTTGAATTGATTTGCATCTCAAATAATACCTGTCTCAGGCATAACAAATCTCAATATCCTGCTTATAACAAATATCAATATCCTTTTGCATTATAAAAGATTGAATTAGAAAGCAACTTCAAAGCTGTACAACTTTCATTGACAGAAACAAAAAAGAAGCACATCACTATTGACATGGCATAGGTAATTTCATTAAGCTTTACATATCAAAACTCATAGTTTAAGGTTTACTAAATTCAAAACCCAAAAATAACACACACACACACACACAGAAAAAAAAAATGGTTACATTCACTTGAGTAGCACTATTAGCATGGTAAAACCAACCAACACTATGGTTGTGAACATTATCAATTTCGTAGCTTGTTGGTTTGCCTTAACTCGTTCCAATCTATTCATAACTTCATTGTTTCTCTCAAAATCATAATCATACCCTCTTTCATCTTCATTCTTTGTATGAATCGCTTTACTTCCCCTTTGGATATTTGATGCATTCCCAGTAGGAGCCACTCCCCACGCAAAGTACTCACACATCTTATCTGCACACTTGTAATATAGCCACCCTCAAAATTGTTACTTGGAAACATTAAGAGAAGTTAAGAAAGAACGAAATTGAAATCTCAACAACTCAACATGATAATCACAGCGCCAAAAGTAAAACAAACCATCTGACTACGCAATATTAGTTGAGTCTAGGATCCGGGACATCACAAATCCCAATTGCTCTTTTAATTTTTTTTACATGTACCCAAACACACTACAGGAAATTACATTTTTGGCGACCAAATTTGGTAACTAAAAAAAATTTAGTCACCAAAAGTTCTGAAATTGACGAGCAAAAATTATATTAGTCAGCAAAAGTACAAGATTTAGCTACTAATTTTTTTAGTCGGGGTATATTGATTATTGGCGACTAAAAAAAATTTAGTTACTAAAAATGCCACAATTGGTAACAAATTTTTTTTTCCAGTGGCTGTAGAGTTAGATTTGGCAACTAAAATTATTTAGTCGTCGAATGAAAAATAATAAATTACTTTTTATCTTTGGCGACTAAACGTTTGGTCACTAAAAATATATTTTCAGCGACTAAAATATATTTTAGTCTCTATAGAGTTAGTTTTGGCTATTAAAATTATTTAGTCGTCAAATGAAAACAAAAAATTACTTTTTATCTTTGGGGACCAAAATTTATTTTCAACAAAAAAATAGAGTTAGTTTTCGCTACTAAAATTATTTAGTTGCCGAATAAAACAAATTTACTTTTTATCTTTTGTGGTCATCAAAAATTTATAATTACAAGTTTGGGGTGGGGGGAATTTCGAATTTTGGAGGGGTTCTAAATTAATTAGTGACTAAATATGTTAAATTAATCGGCGACTAAATATTTAGTGAAAAAAAAATACCCATCCATTTGTTATTAGCTACACAGTCGGGAAAAAATTGGATTGCTAGGGCTTCAAAATCATCACCGTCAATACAATCTTTACCTCTAATTCCCTCTCTCGCCTGTCTGTCTCTCTCGTAGTGAGACTCTCTCTCTCTCTCACACACACACACACACACATTCCTCTGCCCTCCTTCCACACTATCTTTCTTGCTTTGTCTCCATAGCCGTCGGGTACAGGAGCATCACCGCCATCGCACCAATGTCGATCCACCATTGGAGCATTACCCCGGGTATGTCTCTCTCTCTGTTTTCTTCCAGTCGCATACCTTCACACAAACCCAGCCCCAAATTGACCCATCTACCGCCATTGAGTTTAATCCAGATTCCTCCTCCACCATGAACAACCACCAGCAGCCCCATTTTCCCTTTTATCCCTGCTTCTCTCTCTCTCTATATATATATACATATAATTGTTATATGAATTTGGCTATGGAGAGAGTATGCGGATGACCTGTTCGATATAATTCCAAAATGGGTTTTGAATTAGTGAAATCATGATAGTCTGTTGGATGACCTGGGTTTGGACTGGTTTATAAACTGGTCCGTAGAGGACTAGTTTATCGGCATCCTTTGTTGTTGGAGGCACTGATTTGGCCTTCTCAGCAAGAGCAGTATGCATATCGTAATATAAGTCAAAACTTATTAAAAAATTCAAACAAAATAAACGACATAGGAATTACATAACTCAAAACTGACAAACAAAAAAAATGTCTGTTAATTTTTTGTTGAGTGTGAGTACTTGATTTCCAGTATAATCAAATTAATAGTAACATGAAAAGAGAAAATCTCTCCCTCCTTTGTTGAGTTTGAGCTATATTTTGACCTCCAAAGGATGATTACAGAATCACGCTGCCAATTTACTAGTGTGAGTTTTATTTGCTAACCAGTTTGCAGCCATATTAACCACTGTAACATATGAATGGTTCAGCCATATTGATTTCTTCCACAGCATGATAACATCTCTCAATGAATAGGCTTATGATTTTCCAATATTTTAGGCATAATACTAAATAGCACCCACTAAGATATGATTTCACCATCACTTTTTTTAAGAGAGATCTTTTAGGAACTCATACAAACTCACCGACATACATCAAAATTACTTTTTTATTCAGTAAAGAGAAGAGTTCATCAATCACTTGTTTTAAAACTAGTTTCATGCACACCAGGGCATTTTTTGTAATTAAAAAAAAATAAAATCACTGCTAATATAGATATACTAAGTCTTATAGTAGTCATCATTAAACATATTTGTCGCTGAGTCATCTATAGAATAGTAAAAGTGAAGTTTTCTAAATGTAGCTTCCTTTCTTATCTCCAAAGTTGCCAAACGATGTTCACAACTTGTTAAGAAGTCTTACTACTCTCATGGGATTCGACATTTTCTAGTATCAGCAGCCACTCAATAACAGAATCTTCTCCTAGGAATGTTGAGCTTTAAATCACTCAGTTATAGCTATCAAACATAGTGGTACATTAAGTGTGATCCTCCATCACATTTTGCCAGCCACAACATTACTCACAGGGTTTCAAATTAAGTATAGCTATCAAACATTTTTTAGTATCAGCAGCCACTCAATAACAGAACCTTCTCCTAGGAATGTTGGATAAAGAGCTTATATAAGCCTTAAATCACTCAGTTATAGCTATGAAACATAGTGGTACATTAAGTATGATCCTCCACCACATTTTGCCAGCCACAACATTACTCACAGGGTTTCAAATTCCCCAATTAAGCAGAAAGTTAATTTTTGACACCCTAATATCACAACCACATAATATTGGTAACCTTTGGTCGTGGCTTGGGTTCTAAATTCTCTTTGATTTAGTAAGAAATTTGTTTAGGTACCTTCACTCTAGTCCAGGATTTGGATTGAAGAACTGAGGCTGAAGAGGATATGGATTGAATTCTTGACAGTACACTTTTGGTCCCATTTTGCAACTTCAAGTCATGGATTTTGAAGAACTGAGTGGCAGATGTGAACACATAATAGATGCTATTAGAAAATTCTGTTTTCCCTACTATGCTTGTGTAGGAAAGTATGCCTTCTGCATCAACAATCTCTATCATAAATAGTACTCATTAAAAAAAAAAAAAAATCGTGGTTTTGACTAATAATACATCGAAGGCTCTCTTTTTCTCTTCCTTCATTATTAGCTCTGCCCTTTGCCCCTCCAGTTTGTAGCTGCCTTTTTCTAACTGCTTTTGTTTTTTTTTGGGTTTGGTTTCATGTCCTAACTGCTTTTGTTTTTTTTTGGGTTTGGTTTCATGTCCTAACTGCTTCTAGTTTTTAGAAAACTTACAAACTCAGTTGTCAATTCCTTCTAAGGTAATGAGAATTGAAAACATCCTTCAGTTTTGCTTCATAGCATTTTATGTGTTTTAATTACTTTTCTGTTTTTTAGTTTTATATCATTTTAGAATGTGCATTGTTGGGAAGGCCTGACTTGTTAAATCTTTTTCATAACTCTTTTTTGTTTGAGAACTATTATATATCACTATATAATTTAAGCATTTTTTTTTCACTTTCTACGTAGATTATGCAACAAATGTTATATGTACATGTAGGACATTAATATTCTTATTTCCCTTTTTGTTTTGTTCATATATCCCAATTGTTTCTAGTCTATAATAACTTTGAAGCTGATTTTAAACTTCCTATTAATGTAGCAAAGTTAATCTTTGCCGACTAACCAAAGTTTAGTAGCCAAACGTTTCACTTTCGGCTACCAAAAATAGTTTAGTTGCCAATACTATCACCGACAGGGTATAGGCGACGACCTTGGCGGCAAAAAAATTTAGTCGCCAATTTGTTTCGGCGACCACTATTAATGTAGCAAAGTTAATCTTTGCCGACTAACCAAAGTTTAGTAGCCAAACGTTTCACTTTCGGCTACCAAAAATAGTTTAGTTGCCAATACTATCACCGACAGGGTATAGGCGACGACCTTGGCGGCAAAAAAATTTAGTCGCTAATTAGTTTCGGCGACCAA